TTCATACATTGAATAACTCATACATTGACTAAACTAGTTCATACATTGACACAGCTATTTCACAACAGCTGTGGTTTCATGGTCTCAGGACCTTTACTAAACATAGCCACCAGAAGTGCCAAACACACGACAAGAAAAATCACTGCACGACAATAGGCCTTGCCAACTTTACTGAACACCAGCTTGCCCTGCACCTCCTTGGCCTCCTGATCCTTGGCAAGAACACTAGCCTTCTCCTTTTCCTTCACCAGTTCAGCAATCTTGGCTTCCTGATCCCTGGCAAGTACAGTAGCCTTCTCATTCTCCGTAACCAGTTGGGCAATCTTGGCCTGTGCTTCATCAAGCAAATAACTCAGTTCACTATTCTCCACCTCCAGAGTCTGGTTCTTGGTACGCAGGGCCATAACTGCATCTCGCAAATAAATAAGGATTTCAATCTGATGATCTGTTGGCTTCGGATCCAACCACTCCCAAAAAGTGCATCCACCATCCTCGCATCCACAACCAATTTGCAGTTTGTCAGGTAGACAGTTTCTACAATTCAAATCAACCCATCTTAACAATTGGGGAGGATGTAAATTGAACTCACCCGATATTTGTAGCAGCAATGGTACCTCCTTCCTGGATTCCCATCACTCCATGAGATCCACCGGGGACTCTTGCGACCGCACTCGCAGTTGATATCCGGACTGTATGAGTATGGCGGGTGGCGATAGGGAATTGGGGAGGAGTTGGGGGACCGGACCCTATAGTGCTCCATGGAGCTCCTCGACGAGCTTGATTCGACTGCCATGGAGCTCTAACCCTAACCGGGAAATGCGGGGCGGCGGCGCTCGGTGGCCTGTCGAGCAACATTCTGGGCGGGTCTTGGTCGGTGGCGCGGTGGTGCGCAGAGAGGATACCTATCAGATTGCAAGCGTGGGGGCGGGGGCTCACCGGTGGAGTGGGTGCACGGCGGTGGGTGGTGGTGGCGACCACCCGACGATGGGGGGGGTTGGGGTGCGGGTGGGGGGTGGGCGAGGATTTGGGGGAAGGGGGAAATTTTAGACCGTTGCCTTCTGAGACTGACAGGATAGGCCCACCAGGTTAGCTCTGAAGCTGGCTGGACTCAGTTCAGCTTGGGAGTCAGGCTAACGGGTGGGTCCATGACGGTCAAATGGTGGTCAAACCCATGATTTTAGTTTATTTTAAGCAAATTTCAAGCAAATTTTGAATGAAATGTTATGTGGTACATTAATGAACAACTTTTGTAGACCTCTTACAATAATCTTCATCGTACCATGCATTTCAAGTGTATAAGTCTATAGCAAGCTTGTACGCAAGTGTTATGAGTGAAGTAACCAAGCTAGCTATGTCATCTAATGTATATGTAACCAAACTAGCTATGTCATCTAATGTAGTGCATACCTATGTGTCTTGCTATAACAAAGAATGTATATGATCTTATGTAGTGCATAGTTTGAGAAGTGCATAGCTTATGGTAAGAAGGGATCATATATATATGATCTTATGAAGTTCTAACCAAGCACATAGATGTATATGATCTTATCAAGTGAACCAAGCACAAACTTTACATACTAAGTTCTTGTATGTATGTGTGTTGCTAGGATCTTATGAAGTGTTAAAATTCATTCATGCACACATTATGGATTATATATGTATAATGCACACAAAGTAAGGCCACATGTATATCTCCCTATATGTATAATGCACACAAAGTAAGGCCACATGTATATCTCCCTATAATTTGAGAGCACACCGTTATCATCTTACACATTTACTTTGTTAATCAAAGTTTGTTTTCATCCTTCACACAATTATCATCTTTGATGATTATATAATTCATACTTGTGATGTATCAAAGAAGGTGACAAGTAATAAAACGTTTACCATTGTGGATTACTATATAGTACTATAAACCATCATCACAAACAATGGAAATATGATGTCAAATTTATAGAAACAAATATCATTTTAGTCCATAAAAGCTAGAGAAAAGAACCATTTTGTTTTGAGAAGAAAAAACAAAAAAATGAATCCACCTCTCGCCTCCTCATCTTAGTTTCGGCCGTCGACGCGCATCCCCCGCCAAAAATTTGGGCATCACTGCGAAAATCCTGTACTACCCTCAACCATCACTCCTCCTCATTCACTACAGCAGGGACAAGATAGTAACTTCGCTACAGGCTATATATGCCTCATTTCACTCCGCCGCCGCCACTGCCCTCAACTCCACTCCGCCGTCGCCACAGCCCTCACATCCACTTCGTCGCCGCCCGCGTAGATCCACTGCGCCGTCGGTCCCCTAGATCCACTCCGCCGCCGCCGTCGCCGTCGCCGCTCTCAGATCCACTCCGCTGACACCGCCGCCGTCGCCGCTCTCAGCTCCACGCCGCCGTCACTACTCTCATATCCACGCCGCCATCGCTGCTCTCAGCTCCACGCCGCCATCGCCGCTCTTAGATCCACGCCGCCGTTGCCGCTCTCAGATCCACTCCACTGCAAGAGGGACAATCGATGGAGCCATGACGGAGGAGCCGTACGACAACATCACCAGAGACACCACGACGACGACCACGGCATCCATTCCAGCGGAGACACTCGCCTTCAACAATGCCTAAACGGCCCGTAAAACGCCTCAGCCCCCCAAGCCCAGGTACTTCCAAATGCCCCCAAGCCCAGGTTCTTCTAGTTGACTAGGTAGGGTCTAGGGTTCTACAGTTTATGGGTTAGAGTTTAGGTTTTACAGTCTAGGGATTAATTTGACTAAAATCTGTTTAAAATAGGGTACTATGAAAAGCTACAGGATTTGCAAGTCGCGGAGAACAAGAAGAAGATGGAAGGATTGGGTCTCCGTACCTTGGCTTCTTTTCTTCAAAATAGCATTGAAAAAGAAAGTTCTCTGAATCTGGGCAAGCAAAGAAACAAGAAAGTTCATGGGGAGGGGTCAGATTCATCCGAATATCTTCCTGGAGCTGAAGAGGGCCAGGAAGAAGAAGATGAAAGTGTCTTGGTGGGGTGTCTTTACATTATGCTGTTCGTTGTATTTTGTGAGACTTATTTTCATGCAGGTTCTAACAATAGATTTGTTTACGCTTCTATATTAGGAATCTGACAGCAACAACAAGCGGGCCTTAGGATCGAAGAAGAAGGCCAAGATGGCTCTAGGTGGCACGAAAAGAGTGAGGGTAGCTGCAGTGAGTGAGACAACTCCTAGAGTTGCAACAAGGTCTGGAAAGAAGTACACCACCAACCACCCAACAGTTGTGGCTGAGGAGCTGCCACTAGAGAAGAATGCCGTATCCACTAGGGGACAAGATGAAGAAGAACCTGCTCTGGACTGGTCTGCTTTTGATGACCCAATAAATGCACAATCAAATGAAGCTGAGGCCTCATAAGAGTTAGAGATTGTTCCTCAAGGCAAGTAACAGACCAGCTTCCTCACATTCTTTGCTTTACTACTTGGACTACTCTAATTCTATAAGTGCCAACAATGTAGGTAAACAACATGCTCCAAGAAAACCAAGGCCGCCAACAAAAGGCAAATTGCTTGACAATATGACACAATCTATGGGAAGAAGGTTGCCAATTGAAATTGCTGAAGGCAAGAGGAGGCCAGATAAGCCTGTACAAGCTGCTAAGCTAGCTTCTGAGGCTGGCCTTATCACTAGGTAGAACATGCCCATTCTAACTCACTAGAAACACTACAAGAATGATGAAAGCCAATTGAATGAATTCATGGGCAAGTTGTCTGTAAGTAATTTGATACCTTGCATATGTATTTGGTACTTCATATAAGTTGCTATATCAAATGCTAATACCTAAATCTGATGGGTGATTGACTTCTATAGGTTAGGTTGGCAGTTGATGACAAGCATGAGCCAACAGTGAAAGCCTGCAATAATATGCTCCAAAGTGCTGTACGCCAGAGTAGATATTTGTTGAAGAAGAAGTACTTCAATGGTATACCAGCTAATGAAGTCAGAACAACTTCCCCTGTTGCTAATCTTACTGATGAGCAGTGGCTTGAACTCGTGAAGTTGTGGTCCAGTGCAAAAGCAAAGGTACGATGATGGTCCAAACAACAAACTCTACTGTTTCATCTCTGTGTCTGAAACTTACATGTTTGCCTTATAGGAAACGGCTGAGAAAAAAAAGAAAAACCGTGCTAAGGTCATGCACCATCAAGCGACAGGATCTCGCAGCTACATCTCACATTTGTATGCATATGTAAGTGCTACAACTCTGGTTCAATACATTGTATCTTATGAAAACATGCATATCTATTTCCTATAAATTAGTCTAGATACAAAAGCTAATTTTCCTGCATTTCACGCTTAAAATTAATACAGAGGGAGAAAACCAAGGATAGAGAAGTGGATGTAGTGGAGATGTTCAAGGAATGCCATACCAGCAAGAAGAAGGGCATGAGCGAAGAGGTCAAAGAAACAGTTGTAAGTACCTGCATATGTGATTGATGGACATGGTATATATGTCAATTTTTGCTCATGTACAATTGCTGCTGGATGGAATTAGTACATGGAAGGATGTTCATATGCTTAAATGTTGTGTGTGGATGGTTCTATCTATGCTTATGAAATAGAAAATTTTACCTATGTGCTTGCTGGATGGGATTTGTACATAGACAAGATGTTCATAAGTTTACACCTATATATGCAATCATATGTTCTTTGTGCATGGTCTGTGCCTATCAAATCGAAAGTTGTTCCTATATAATTGTTGGATGGATTAGTACATAGACTAAATGTTCATATGTATACACTTATATGTGAAGTCATATGTTTTCTGTGCATGGTCCTATTGTTGTTGTGAAATGGATAGGATATTCATCTCTGATGTGCCATGTGAAGTTATTGTTAACTGTGTTCATGTACTTAAACATATATACATCAATATGTTTGTGATGATTTTCATGTCTGCTTGTGAAATGGACTCCATAGTTATCTTATCCTTTTTCCACCTGTTTGCTGTAGGCTGCCATGGAAAATATGTTGGCCCAACCTGCTCAAGATTTAGAAACACCAAGATCTAGTACTGAGATTGTCTCCAAGGTTCTCTCACAAACCAGTGCAGCCTCTACATTCCTCAAGAATGCTGGTATTGAAACACTAGTAAGCAAATCTGCTGCATCAGCTGCAAGAGAAGCACAACTAAGAGAACAGGTGCAGGCCAAAAAGCAATGGGCTGATCTACTTCAAGAAGAATTGGACTACCTGAAGAAGAAAGCTAAAGAAACAGAAGAGTCAATGGCCAAGACCCAAGAAGAAGTGTGCAAGGCCCAGCAAGAGATGGAGGAGTTCAAGAAGAAACAAGAAGCTAATGATCTATTACTTCAGCGCATCTTGAACCTCAACTTAGGTAATCGAGCTACTTAGCTTGCTCCTGTGCAGCTCGGGTTCCTTGGAGTGCCATGGAGTGCTGCTGAGCAGTGGAGTGGTGGTGCTGTTGGTCCTCATAATAAGTTACTAAACTTGGTCTATCAGTTATGTTGCCTGTGAACTTGTCTATGGTTTGGTACCTTTTCTTTGGAACTTGGTCTGTTGGATGTGTGTGAACTTGTTTCCCGTGTTAGGGAACTCTGGTTGTATTTGAACATAAATTTGTGTTGTATGAAACTATGTTGGTGCTTGATGAATAAACTTGTGCTGCATGTGTATGGGATTAGTGCTTAGGCCTGACAATAATGGTACTGCCTGTGAATTATATCGAATTCGTCAAATCTGTACTATGACGAAAACAAACATCACTAAGTAACAGTCGCCACGTCATCTCTAACTTGCTGCCACATCATCTCCAACGTCTTGCCATGCCATCTTACATGCTGCCACATAAACGAGCACAAGAGCGCCATGTGTCAACCTACAAGCAGTACACGTGTCAACCTCCTCGTCAAACACGTGTCGACATCCTCATCATACACGTGTACACATCTCCATCATACACATGTCCACTAGAACACCTGTTGAAATAGATCAGTGACGGAGGGGAAAGCGTCATGGATGTAACTCTATCTGTGACGAAAAACACTAAAGCGTCACCGTGCAACAAATGTGACGCTACAAAGATGACGATCAGAATTTCGTCATAAGTTTGTCACAGATATGTTTTGATGGCGTTATTTGCATGTACTGTGACAAAAATGAATCGTCTCAGAAGTGAACTTTTTTTGTAGTGATATGCCCCGGTTGCTAGATTGGAAGCAATTAGGATCATGTTAGCCTATGCTTGTGCCTACAACATCAAGTTGTACTAAATGGATGTGAAGAGTGCATTTCTCAATGGGTACATCAATGAGCTTGTGTATGTTGAGCAACCTCCCGGTTTTGAAGATGAAAAGAAACCCAACTATGTCTACAAGTTGAGAAAGGCTTTGTATGGATTGAAACAAGCATCAAGAGCATGGTATGAGAGATTGATTGATTTCCTACTCTCTAAGGGATTCAAGATGGGGAAAGGTTAACACCACTCTCTTCACTAAGAAGCTTGGAAATGACTTGTTTGTATTACAAATCTATGTTGATGATATCATATTTGGGTCAACTAATCAAGATTTTTGTGAGGAATTTGGCAAGATGATGGCAAGTGAGTTTGAGATGTCCATGATTGAAGAGCTTAGTTACTTCCTTGGTCTTCAAATCAAGTAATTGAAGAATGGTACATTTGTGAGTCAAGGCAAGTACATCAAAGACATGCTCAAGAAGTTTAGAATGGATGATAGTAAAGCTATTAGTACACCAATGGGGACAAATGGAAGCTTGGATAGTGATGCTAGTGGCAATATGGTGGATGAAAAGATATATCGGTCTATTATTGAAAGCCTACTCTATGTGATCGCATTAAGGCCGGATGTCATGTTTAGTGTATGCATGTGTGCAAGATTTCAAGCCTCACCAAGAGAAAGTCATTTGAAGGCTACAAAGAGAATATTGAGATACTTGAAGCATACACAAAATGTTGGATTGTGGTATCCCAAAGGAGCAAGATTTGAGTTGATTGGATATTCGGACTCCGATTATGCGGGATGCAAAGTTGAGAGAAAGAGCACATCGGGCACATGTCAACTATTGGAAGATCACTTGTGTCTTGGTCATCAAAGAAGCAAAATAATGTAGCACTTTCAACCGCCAAAGCGGAGTACATTTCGGCTGGTAGTTGTTGTGCTCAATTACTTTGGATGAAGGCTACTTTGAGTGACTTTGGAATCAAGTTCAAGAAAGTGCCATTGCTATGTGACAATGAGAGTGCAATCAAGTTAACCAACAATCCGGTTCAACATGCAAGAACAAAGCACATTGATGTCCGCCACCATTTCATAAGAGATCACCAACAAAAAGGGGACATTTGCATTGAGAGTGTGGGCACCGAAGATCAACTTGCCGATATATTCACCAAGCCATTAGATGAGAAAAGGTTTTGCAAGCTAAGGAATGAGTTGAACATATTGAATTTCTCAAATATGTGTTGATGCACCCCCATTATATGACATGCCTCTCCTTCGAGCAAAGCAAAGTAAAATTGATTGACATGTCATTCATCCATTGCTAAGGACTTGTTTAGTGCATCTAGTCATTCCTATCATGCCCTAGGCTCATTCATGGAAATCAAATGAGTTTGATGCTCGTATAGTACCACTATTGATTGTATGCTTGAAATGATCTAGCGGTAGCATATGACATGTTTGTGGGCTTATAAACCTAGTGTTTGATCTAGAAAATGAGCTCTAAAGTGTTTAACTCAACATGGTACAAGATAACCCTTATTTGGAGGTGTGAAGAAGCTTGTCCTTGGATCAAACCGAGTTAAATATCTTTTGCAAGTGATCTAGATTGAACCAAATTGAGAAAATGATCCTCACTTTACACGGTTTCACCCTAACTTATCTAAAATTTGAGCTCGCCTTTTTGTGCTAATTGTTGACAAAGGGGGAGAGAAATTCACAAAGATAGTACGATAGGGGGAGCAAACAAACGAAATGACATTGGAAAATTTTAAGCACACAAGTAGGGGGAGCAAGCTCATAAACTTGGTGGATGCATTTGAATGTGCATGTCATATATTTGCTTGCATGGCACAAGTTTTAAATTTAAATATCCATGCTTGTGTGGTGTATGCTAGTTGTAGGTTTGAATGATGAAATAAAAAACTAGCATGCATAGGTTAAGTAACTAGACTCATGCTCACATTATGAAAACTAGACCCTTACTTCTGATGTTGATCTCATGGGGTATTGTGTATATCTAGTTACTAATGGTGCTAAGGATGGTATATTGGTGCACTCCGATTGGTATCACGCTTCAAAGGTCCATGTCTTATACCTTAGCATCATTTGGTAGACATTGTCTCCTATATTTGCTATCTAAGCTTATGTGCAAGCTACAATCCAAACTCTTAGCACATATGTAGGGGGAGCAATTGCTACCATTTGGGGTTCATGAAACTTGTCCATATCCTTTTGCACATGATAAATATGCTTGGGCAAGCAACATGGATTCAATTAAATTTCAATTCATATCTTTGTGAAAGTGTTGTCATCAATTACCAAAAAGGGGGAGATTGAAATCTCTAGTTTAGTTTTGGTGAATTGATGAAACCCTAAGTGCTAACCTAGTTTATCAAAGTGGTCATGAGATAGGTAGCACATTCCAAGTGGTGAAACAAATGAAGGTCATGACATGATGATGGTGATGCCATGGTGATGATCAAGTGCATGGACATGAAAAGAAGAAAGAGAAAAACAAAAGGCTCAAGGCAAAGGTATAAGTGGTAGGAGCCATTTCGTGTGATCAAGACGCTTAGCGAGTGTGATCACATTTAGGTTCGATAGCCGTACTATTAAGAGGGGTGAAACTCGTATCGAAATGCGGTTATCAAAGTGTCACTAGATGCTCTAACTCATTGCATATGCATTTAGGATCTAGTGGAGTGCTAACACCCTTGAAAACATTTATGAAAATATGCTAACACACTTGCACAAAGGTGATACACATTGTGTTTAGTACTTGGGAGCAAGGGTTCGAAACTTCACCGGTGGAATGTTTGCCCGCAGAGTGCGGACAGTCCGTATAGAAAAGACAGGGTTTCACAGAGTGCATCGGACGCTGGTCACGCAGTGACCGGACACTAGGGTCCTGTGTCCAGTCAGTGGCGCACAGTGAAGGCCACCCTCGGTCCCTTGACCGGACGCAGGCGACCGAACTCTGGTTGAACACTGTTTAGTGTCCGGTCATGATGATGTGGCAACGCATAGAGAAGTGGACGAGTGATCAGACGCTGGGCGAGTCCGGTCGAACATGACCGGATGCTTCCGATCGCGACTGAAACCTTACTAGAAGTGACCAGACGTTGGGGTCCTGTGTCTGGTCCTACACTATAGAGCATCCGGTCACAACTTAAGTGCACTGATCACCATTGAGATTGGACGATCAACATTTGAAGCAGGGGCCACGTGGTGTGCATCGTGCGACCGAACGTTGGGGTCCTGCATCCGGTCGATCTAACCGGCGCGTTCGGTCGCCCTGTTTTTTCAGTGAACAGAGATTGAACGGCTCTATTCATGGGGGCTCTCTATTCAAGCCCCATGGCTGGCTCAAGCTCACTCTCTTAGCCATTTGTATTGACATAGCAACCTTGTGAGCTTAGCCAATGTCCTCACACTCATCTCCATCATTGATTCATCATCTTTGTGAGATTGGGAGAGAATCCATGTGTATTGCTTGAGTGATTGCATCTAGAGACACTTGGTGTTCGTGTTTTGCTGTGGGATTTGCTTGTTGCTCTTGGTGGTTGCCACCACCTAGACGGCTTGGAGCAGCGGAGGAGGATTGGCACGAGTAGGTGATTGTTCGTGGCCATCTTCGATGATTGTGAGGGGACTTGTACCTTCCCCGGCGGAGCGCCGAAAGGTAACCTTAGTGGATTGCTCGTGTCATTGAGTTACCTCACTTGTGGGTATGTTCTTGCAGTGTCCAATTGAGTGGACGAGGTTCGTGCAACACCTCTTAGCCGCCGAACCACCAAGTGTTGGTCGACACAACGGGGCCGTAGTGTGTTGGCAAGCACGTGAACCTCAGGAGAAAATTGGTTGTCTCTTGCCTCTTGGTATTCTCCCGGTGATTGAGTTAGTATTCATCTTGTGATTGGTTCACTCCTCTATGCGACGGTATAATCACCTTACTTACTCATTTACATACCCGCAAACTAGTTGTAGTAAGCTCTTTAGTGTAGCTAGAATTGAGAGCTTGTTTTGTAGCTTAAATTCATCTAGTGGAGCTCTTTAGTGTAGCAAGTGTGAGAGCTCTTAGTGAGTAGTGACTTAGTAAATTGTGTGTCTAGTGATCATAGCAACTAGAATTGTTGGATAGGTGGCTTGCAACCCTTTAGAGCTAGAGCAAGTTTACTTTTCGCTATTTGTCATACTAATCAAATTGCTCTAGTTAGTTTATAGATTTTTTAAATAGGCTATTCACCCCCCTCTCGCCATATTAGGACCTTTCAACCTATCATCTCTAATTCCCTTAGATTCAAAGTTTCAATAATGACGTTGAAGATGAGTTGCCACTTATTGTTGTATCTTGAATTTTTTTTTCCGATGGGTTCCTGATTATATTGAAATCCCCTCCTACTTGCAAACGTAGATTCCCGCTGCTAGTACATGCTCGTACTAACTCTGACAAAAAATTCTCTTTGTGCTCTTCCTGTGCTGCACCGTATACAGACAAAAGAGCCCATCGAAAACCATCTAGCTTATTTCTTAAAACAAATTTAATATAGTACTCTCCATCGACAATATTTTCTAATTCAAAGTACTCTTGATTTATACCTATTAGCATCCCTCCGGACATACCCCGAGGGCACGGCCAATGCCATACAAAATCAGCCCCAGCACAGAAAATTTTCAGATACTGAGTCGAGAAACTATTTCTGTTTGTTTCTGGTAAAGCTATAAAATCAAGTCTATTATCTTCTGCCACGTCATGTAAGAAAGTGTGTTTAGCTAGGTCCCATAGACCTTTGCAATTCCAGAACAAGCCCTTCATTGGAACAATTTTTTCTTTGCTGGTACCTTCTTATTGAGGAGTTTCTTTTTTTTCCTATTTTTTGCCACCTTGATGGGTATATCAACTAGTACTCCATCAGGGCCCGCACTATTATCGTTCATCACCTCCTCCGTCGAGTCGCCACAAAGTTGACTGATAGTGGAAGTATCAGGATCAATCTCATCCTCCTCCGATTCAAATTCTTTATCAATCGAATGAACAACATTAGATGGTTTTAATCTTTCTTTTTCCATATATAAGATAAGAGCTACAGACTTAGCAACTACTTTTTTTCCATCCCCCAAGGTAATCCCGATCCCCGTAAGTTATGCTCAATACGATCACTAGAAAAGGAAGTAACTGAATTAACTAATGCATTCACATTACCTTGGGGTTCCTCGAGATTTCTGTAAGCAATTTTTTCTGCCTTTTCAAGAGCGTGTACATCAGCGACATCCGCATTCCGCTTACTACGCCTTACTGGGGTAAGCTCTCCATCTGACAGCACCACCATCGTCATCATACTTCCCAGCTCTTTCTTTGTTCCACCATCAGCTGACAGGCCAGCTTCTCCCATAGCATCAGAAAGGATCCCAAGGTGTTGATCATCAATCGTAATCACACCTTCTGCTGCCCCATCTAGAAGCAATGCAGCCTCATCCTGTTCCTCGTCAAGCACGGAAGACTGCTGGTTGTATTTTTTTTGTGAATCAAGACCTGTAGGCACAAAAGCACCCGCAGCCTGTACCCGCGCCCCCTTGGTGAGCTGCTGCGTTTGAACAGGCTGCTGCTGCTGTGTTTGGCTTGGTTGCTGCGGTAAGCGAGCTGGCGCTGATGAAGAACCTAATAACATCAGAGAAGCTGCAGTCCTCACATTCACCGAGTGACCTTTTTTTTACCCCAATAAAATCCCGTGCCACCTCACTAACTTCATTTTCCTCACCCAATAAATCATCCTCTGAAAGATCAATATCCATCTGTGCTTCCGGATCCTTTACTTGTTTTCCCATACTAATATTGTTCTTTGCATTTGCTACACTTGCACCTGAGGAGGTATTATCACCATGATTTTGTGTCTCTCCCATCTCAGTATCTTTTGGTGCCCCATTGCCATGATCTAAATTGCCATCGTTTCGGGTGTTCCAAATATTTCTTAGTCCAATATTTGGAAGATAAGGCTCAACCTCAAAAAGTAACTGGAAGTACCTATTACCAATGATGACATCTAGCTTTGTCGGAATTGCTTCAGGTTCTAGCACTGCCACTGCAAACCGGCCAAAGCTACTTGCTCTGGAAGTTACCATATCAACATCCTGAGTAACTCCAAAAAGAGTTCCTAAAGCCCACAAAATCATATATTCTTTTAAAATTGTTGGGAGGTTCAAAACACGCATCCAAACTACAGGTAGAGCACGACCAAAGTATTCCTCATCTTCCTTGAATTCTTGAAACTTGAGAGTCACACCTTCCTTCATTTCTGCATTGAACCTCGTCATCTTTGTGAGATCACCTTTTGTAGGAAAAGGGACCTTAAACCCAGAGCCACTTTGCCTTTTGACTTCCCAAGCAAAAGTATTAGAAACCAATACACGTAGAAAAGCAGCGACATCCTCCTCTGTCAGATTCTTACCAGAAGTCGAGATCAGAACCAACCTCGAATCTCTCTTTGTCGGCTGAATTGGTGCATGTGGAATATGAAAACCGGCAAGAGCATCTGCAGCCTGTCCAACCAGCTGGGCTACTGGTTTCGGTTGCTTGAGAACCGAGCACCGACTCATAGCATGATCAGAACTTCTGCAAATATCACAGAACACAGTCGCCGTGCACTCAAACATCAGATGACCCTTCACACCACACCTTCTACAAATCTTAGTAGTAGCTGTCTTCTGGGTCACACCCGCAGAGCCTACATTTGCTGCATCAACCACTGAGTTCTCAATTTGCACTTCACCTGGTCCAGCTGCCGAAGAAGAGCCTTGGAAGATTTGAGATCCTTGCATCACATCAGCGTTGACCGTCGAACCAACCCCTACTGACACCTTTCCTGATGGCTGCTGCTGCTCCACATGCTGCTGCCCCAGAAAAGACGATGGTTGGGCCTCCATTGCCGATGCCTTTGGAGGAGCATGCAATGTGGTCTGCTGCTGATTCACAGGCAGATTCACCTGAGTCTGAGTGGGCTGCTGCTGTAATACCTGCTGATGCTGCGGCTGAAGTGTATGATGCTGCGGCTGGATGTGCTGCTGTGATGTCGCTTGGTGCACATGCTGCTGCGGCGGTACATGTTGCCGAGGTGGCCCCCGTTGCTGCGAAGGGGCTTGAGGCGGCATCCGCTGCCGCTGGAAATTGTGAACCTGTCGGTAACCCCCATTCCACCCGCAAGCTCCATTACGTCCATATGTACCTCTTCTTCCCCGCTCATACTCCCATCTGGACCCGTAATTTGGTGGATGACCCCCGAGATTGGGGTTGAACCGCTGTCCATTCACTACGGGATACTGTGTATTTACCGAGTGTGAGTAACACTTGGCAAATAGTGCTACACACTCGGCAAACTCTTTACCGAGTGCCACACTCGGTAAAATGGACACGGCAAACAACGACTCGGTGAAGTTATTTTACCGAGTGTCTAATATTGGCGCACTCGGAGCAGAGAGTTATCGAGTGCTACAACGACACTCGGTAAACAATTATGACTTGACGGTCGTCAGCCTCCAAACTGACCGTTAACGGCGACGTTTACCGAGTGTCACTAGCAGCACTCGGTAAATAAATTAGCATTTCGTGATTAAAACAATTCTGCAAATAAATTTTTTGAATAATGTTTACCGAGTGTAGCTCCTAACACTCGGTAAAAGAATAACCATTTTCGTGATTAAAACAATTCCGCAAATAAACTTCAGGAATAATGTTTACCGAGTGTTCCCACTCGGTAAAAAGTAGTCAAATATTTCCGAATGGGGACGCGGCACTCGGTAAAAAATGGCACACTCGGCAAAATTCACAGAATCAGAACCAATTTGGTTCTGTTCGCTGTTTTACCGAGTGCTACACTCGGTAAAACTGACAGAATCTCTGTTTTACCGAGTGCTACACTCGGTAAAATATGTCCACATAATTTTTTTTGTTTGTTTCAGTGCATATCCAGTCACAATAAGCAACAAAATCACAGTAATTATAATAACATGACAGATAGGCAATATATATCATATATATGTCCACAAATGTCACATTCACTCACAATAACCAACATATGTCGACAAGCACCATGCAAAGTCCACAAACACCATCAACATATGTCCAAAGTCCACAAAGTTCAACCAAGTCCACAGTTCAACATACAAACCCATCAAACAAGGTCGGATGGCCTATCACATGGTCGGAGGCCTGCGGAGAAATGGAGTCAAGTCTAGGTCTTGATCACCCTGCATATCATTGTTCGATCCAGCTGTAGAAGGTCCCTAGAATGAGATTGCACATGTGAGTTATCTGGATCAAAGCAAATTCTAAGGTCTAAGCTATGGTAGGTCAAACTAAGGTATAAGTCGAAGGTAGCTCTATATGACACGAAAGTGAAGAGTGCATCTAAGTGACTCACAGGAGTGTCGTCGCGCGGAGGTGGAGGCACCAACGGTATCATCGGCGGCGGCGGAGGCGGTGGAGGCTGGCCCATGCTCTGAGAAAAACGGGCCATGTACTCGTACCAGTCCTTGTGCGCCTGCTGGAAGGCCTCAAGCTGGGCCTGCACTCGCGCCCTCTCCTGTGCCAACTCGGCCTGGTGCGACAGCTCGAGGGCCTAAAGCTGGCTCTGTGAGGCTTGCTGTGACTCCTGCAGGGCTTCAATCTGGGACTACAATTATTTATCACATAGTTAGAATGCAAATAAAGAACGAGTAGAAAATGAATGGACAACGAATGCAACAGAACTAACCTGGAGTGCTACCACCTGGGGCTGTGAGCGTGGGCGTATGGCCGGACTCGAACTCATGCTCCGGGCTCTAATCTGGGCGAGTGTCTGAGTGTTGGCCGTGTCTATGGTGCTGTTGCCCATATAGTACCGCCCGTGTGGCTTACCTGGTCCCAACCTCATGACGATGTCACCCTCGAGGTCAGCGGTGCTCGGATCAAATTCTAACCCATGGATCTCTCTCGCCATCGCCGTGTACTCGCTGAGGCGCCTGTGCACGCTCGGGTTGCTGTATGCCTCGGGTGGGTCCTCCGCGTTGTAGATGAGGTCGGGGTCCTTTGCCTTGCCCTTGTGTGCCAAGGCATATGCCTTGAACGAGGCGCACTCCTGGCCGGGGTGGAACTGCGTGTGCAGGAAGAAGCACAACAATAAGATATTATGCATTCAGAAGTTAGCATAGCAACAACGAAATGAAATCCACGTACATATCTGGCTGCATATTCCTTGAGGGTAGTGGGGCCTTGTTTGTGTGAGGAACCCTGCATCATCGCACGGCAACGTGAGCATACGGCGTGATATTGCTCGTACTCCTCACTCAACCACTTGTCCACAATGGCCTCCCAGCAGTTGTCCATCCCCGCACACCAAGCAGGGAGGCACCCTGCACGCATACGAGCACATGACAAATCATAAATCAATTTCATTGCAATTAATCGAGACGATGTAATCTCATGTTTACCGTCAAGTATTGCTCCTTAGTCGTAAGCAGTGCACCGCCTGCGCTCTGGTGACTCTGTGTCCTCTGCGGGCATGGTAAATTCTTCGACAGAGCTTTGTCTCGTAGAAGAGGTCCTCACACTTTCGGTGAACATGCACTCTATTCACCACGCCATCCGCGTCCCTCCCTCGTACTCCCTCCGCCAAGGTGTAGTAATCCTACAAGCAAATACAATCGAATATACAATTAATGTGATGTTATTATCATCATAGTGCGATGAACACGTACCCACAACTCTTTCATCACCCGGCCGGCCTTGTTTGTTATAACACCCGCCATTTCGATCGGTCGATCACGGGCGGCGCGCTGATGGGACCACTTCATGGTGGGCTGCACAACACCATCGATCCTCACCATCCTGGGGTAGTTTGCCTCCACATGTAAGACCCAGATCCCGTTTACTCGGCGAGAGTGACTCCACTGGATCACCATTTCCCAATCCTCGCACAAAGTTATTGAGATTGAATATTAGTTTCACATTATAACTTAAAAACCTGTGAAGTAGTGTTAACATGCAAAATTACTTACTTAGTTTCGAGAGGGTCGAATCACCGGCCGCCTCAGATGGGTAAAATCCGGAGGCGCGACGACCCTCGCAGCCAAACCATAGGCACCCCATTTTCCTCTGCCAGCAAGTCGGCATCCTCCTCACGCTCAGCCCGCTCGGCCTCATCCTCCCTCCGTGCCTCCTCCACCGCCTCCGCTATCTCCTCCCCGGTCTCCTCCTCCTCCTCATCCTCCTCCTCCGTGCTGCCACTTGAACTCGTCGTCATCGTCTCCGTGGAGGAGGTGTCGGCTCTCGACGCCTCGCTGCGCCTCCTCCTCCTCCACCCTGGGCTCCTCCTCCACCCTGGGCTCCACGTCCACCCTAGGCTCCACCTCCCTGGGCACGGCCTCGTTGTTGTCCTCCTCCTCCTCCCTGGGCACGCCCTCCACCCTCAGTCTGTGCACGCCATCCTCCTCCACCCTGGCTGGACCCCTCGCCACCAGCCAGTAAGGTCATAACCGACCTAATCTTCCTGATTCCACCGCCCACCATCAATCACCTGCAACAAAAGGAATAAACTATCAGTACGCATATACAAAAGTAAATGTATCATACATGTATAAAAGAGATGCAAAATAAGTAAATGTATCATACATGTATAAAAGAGATGCAAAATAAGTAAATGTATCATACATGTATAAAAGAGATGCAAAATAAGTAAATGTATCATACATGTATAAAATTGCCATAAGTACTACAGATCTTACATGTACTAGAAATAATCATCAAGATCATTGATAGGTGGGCCAAAAATCTCATCATCGCTATTGTCGACGTAATTATGATCGTCTCTCAAAGTCTCATCACTAGCGACACTGCCTGAATGGTGTTGCTCAAGTAATAACAAGTCCTTCGTGTTGTGAACCTCCTCTCCATCATCCCCGTCAACAATGACCGTATCATTGTCTACTTCCATTGCGAGATCTACATCTAAGACAATCTCAAAACTCCCATCTAATCCTTCTTCTTGAAAGAACTCTCCGTCATATGTGTTTACATCGATGTTATAATCATCATCGTTTGGGACGGGTACTTTACCATGCGGCGATACCTTGTACACAACATCATACGCTTTAAGACGGTCTTTGGTTTGGCACGGGTATGAGAGATAATAAACTTGCGTGGCCTGTTGGGCCACAATGTACACGTCGTCTCCTAGCAAGACGGATGACTTTAGAACTTCGACTAACCCAAGCTCAGGGGTCTTTATCACTTCTTTGGGATCAAACCAATGGTATTTGAATATGACAGGACGAAGAGGTACACAACCAGGAAACTTGAGTTTGTATATTTCTTCAATTATTCCATAGTAGTCCAACCCATCTGTGCCTGGCGTGAAAACACCGGTATTTGTGGTTCTTCGATTCGGCCGACTCTGCTCGTGCCGAGTTGTGTGAAAGCGATATCCATTGACATCGTACACAGAGAATGACTTGACCCTAAATTCAAATCCATTGGCAACTTGCCTCAACTCGGCACTCATAGACACGTCAGTTTTGGCCTGCTAGTTCAAGTAGGATGATTCGTTATATATTTGTCAAGTTGAGAGTTAAGTACAAACAACAAATGAAATTGAACAGTACCTCCTCCTTGAACCAACAAATAAAAGTGGGATTTCGTTCTCCCGCGCCATGTCTTAGAAGGGTTTCAACTTCCACTTCGATGGGTTCCCTCCGTGAAGGACGATGGTAGAGGAGAACAAATTTGCTGTAACGGCCATTAACAAAAGGGTTGGATGGGTGCATGCGAAATATTGACAAGAAAAGAAACAAGTTTGTGTAAAACTTACGCAATGTACGGGCCAACCTCTTCAAGGTTCTGCAACACATACAGCTGGATAGAGCGCCACTCTTCTAGGCTCAACATCTTCAAGGTAGGTTCACTTGCACTTTCGAGTTGCCCTCGAAAAAGGCTGAGGGTCGACTGATTATCGGCAGCATTGTAACGAGGGGGTGGATTATGCACGTTAGGAAGGTTGTCGGCATAGTATCTTGTTGTGAAGTATGACACCTCCTCCACAATGGATGCCTCTGCATAGGAAGCTTCAATTTTGCATTTATTTTTGCATTTTGTTCTAAGAACCTTTAGGCATCGCTCA